AAGAGAACACACACACAGATCTGTACCTAGGTAGTGGATTCAACCATCATCCAAAATATAAACGAACCATCATCAACACCTTTGTGAACAGAGCTTTGAGAATATGTCAAGAAAGGTACATCAATGACGAAATAAAACACCTAACAACTGTGTTACAAGCGAACGGCTACGACAGAAAAGACATAATTCGCGCTACGGGTCCAAGGGAGAAGAAGAGAAACACCAGTGAAGATCAACCCCAAGGCACTGTCTATCTGCCATTTATTGAAGATGTCACTGAATCGGGGAAATTGTAAGGAAGGAGTAAATTACCACTGTCTTCAAATCAACGAAAAAAATATCAGTGATCCACTTAAATCAGCGGGTGTTGACAGGATTCCATGTAACTGTGGTAAAGTATATATCGGTTAGACGAAAAGAAGCGTTGATGCCCGCCTACTCGAGCACAAGCAGATTCGCCGATTGAGACAGACCGAGTCTGCAGTCGCTGAACATGCACTTTCTAACGGTGAACACAAGAACCTGTTCGAAAATACCTAGAGCTAAGTCAACCAAATCAGGCGGAGAGTATGTGCAAACCCGCCATAACAGCACCAGTGTTGACACGGCAGAAATAAGAATTTCAGTTTCAGTTGATACATCAAGAAGAGTACTTCGACCATGCCACTGAAGATGACTGCCGCAGTTGCAGTCGAAACGTTCGGAGATTATAACCAAAAAACACCACGGCAAAACCCGGAAACCAACCAAAATGGTTGAATTCGTGTCAATGATGGATTCTGAAAATGTGTGTTCGACACACTCCTGATGTTTTAGACAACCTACACAAAGATTGCGTATTTTCCATGAAGACAACGTTGCTTAGAACTGCATTATTGATGAGTTCGTTATTGACTATTCCTCTACTTTTATGTCTGTAAATAACGTTACCTGTTTCCATGAAGTCATGTAACAATTTCAATATAAATGTTATACATGTACATATATTCATGTCAAATATTTGTGCCCGGATGATTTTCGTTGGAAACGAAACGAGCAGAGGGCCTTGAAGATTTTCCATGTTCGCAGTACAAACCCAATATTCCAATCCGCTCTTGAAGTTTATGAATATTATTTCAAAATGGAATATAATAATTGAAATAATAAGTTCAAACAGGGCAGAATTCTAAAAAAACACAATAACACGTAAAACATTGTAATAAAAGGAGCTTTCTAGCTCGTTTCTCCTTTATTTATTTACTGAAATGAATTTTAGCAGCGCTGTCACCAGATGCAGATTTCTCCACATCAAAATTTGGAAGTTAGGCAATTCCGAAAAGGGCTGTACGGTTCGTGCCGATCGCACGAAGGCCGGTCTTTTTGAAACCTGATCATTTGGTATACTTACTTATATTCTCTATCATTATGTGGTTCTTGAACTGAATTTTAATCCTAATTGAATTGCTTTTCACCCACTATTCTTTTCTCGATAGATTGCCAAAAAAAGTCTCTTATTTATTTTTGTTCTCTTAACTTCATCTTATTACTCTACGACCTACGAGGATGGTATTTTTCTCAGTCCAAGAGAAAATGAAAGCCCAAAGTTTCAAATATAAAGTATAATAAGTAGAAAAACGACTCCATGGACGAAATAAAAACAACGTGTAAAATATTATATAAAAGGAAAATGTTAAATTCTTACTAACTGATAAGATATTTCATTCATAAATTATGACATTATCGCTAACACTGAATAGCCTGGCAGAAGGAAATTGGATGTTTTGTCTTCATGCGAAATCACAAAATATTTGTTTAGTCGAGAATTATCTAATTTTAAACTAAAATGTTTAACTCAACTGGAAAAATACATTTTCAAATCAAAACTTCCTGACTTCTTGTCTCCTGATTCTTCTTTCTGATACCATCTAATATTTTCACCAGTCTATCCCAATATTCGTCGAAACATTTCGGCTCCGTTTTAGCCCCTTCATTTCCATTAATATATATCGAAAATCTCCTCCCGCTTAAAAAAACTAGACTCATAAAAATGTCAGAACACCATGTTGTGTTGTTACGAAACGTAAAATCCAATATGACCTCACAACCTAAAGTTTTTGTCAGAGCCCATACTCAGCTAGTTTATTGGTTCGATATTTCACGTACTCTTGTGCTTTCACTGGAATTTATGCCTGGAAAAGGCGTGGAATGATTATATACACTGATAGTGAGTCCTTCGTTGTTCTTATTTTTCCATAGAATCACACTTCACAATGTTGAAGCTCTTGAAAATCTGATGAACATTATGAAAATAGTTCAGAAACAATGGGTTATTACGATTTTGAGCGATACACCCATCCAATATACTTCAAACTTTGACATTTCCATTTACGAGGTTTGTTGAAAAAATAAGATGAATATTTAAATTTTTTGGGCTACATGCATTCTATAAGCGTTATTTATTTTTTTTATGTTGGTACACTTACCCCGAATATATGTTCAAAGTTTATCATGTATGCTATCGAAAATATATATCAAAGATCAAAGAGTTTGCATCAACTGTTGTCTAACAAATGGAATCAAGTGCTGAAACACACTTGAAATATTGACAGTGGCATACGGTGATTGTACTCCATGAGCATCGCTCAGGATGTTCGCTCCAAAGATGCTCAATTTTCACCAAAAAAAAAACATCTCAAAAGCATCGATCAGAAATTGGTGGTGCCGTCAACGGCAATCCAAAATTGCTAGAAAGGATTATAACTGAAAGTTACTTCTTTGCATTATCCACAAATCTTTATACAGAGTTACCTTTTTGAAAGTCATTGCTTCCTTCTTTTCTTTGGAAGATTACCAGATTTTTTTATATAAAGATGGAGAAGTAGAGAGCCAAAACCTTTTTTTCCATGGGTATATGATTATGACATCAATACTTTAGTCCAATGGTCCCAATGAAATAGTCCAGGAGAGCCAAGTCCAAAAATAAACATGGCAAGTTCGATCAAATGTCAAGGTTTCGCTCATTGTTTCCTTTCATTACCGTAGCGTAGTGAATCAGGAATTCTTGCCACATAGTCGTAGGGTCAATCAGGAGTATCATTTTGGAGTTTGTTTCCTTTCATTACCGTAGCGTAGTGCATCAGGAATTCTTGCCACATAGTCGTAGGGTCAATCAGGAGTAACATTTTGGAGTTATGCGCCGATTGCCAGAAGCATTATGGCTGTTGCATCACAATAATGCACTTGCTCACTTGTCATTGCTTTTTCGTAATTTTTTGTCCAAAAACAACACCAATATTACTGGAGTTTTTCCCCACACCAAATCTTTATTTTTGACACATCGACACGTGTTTCGATCACCAAGTGATCATCTTCAAAGAGGAAGATTGAAACAGTTAAAACAGGCAGTTTTTTAATTAATTTGCGGGGAAGAAAAATAATACCTTACTTTAAACCCATTTTGAATAACGCCAACCTCAACATTGTTGAGAAAAATTGAAGCAGTAACAGTCATTGATTTGCATGTGTTAAATGTTGACTGCTTAGAGGAAGCAGAAACACTGAAAAAACTATGATGAAGCATTTCGTTGAAGTGAAATGTGAATGTTCTACACCAGGACAACCAAGTACATACTCCTGAGGGAGCAGATGTCTGTCAACCCCAGCAAAATTTATAATCCCCTTCACCAGGAGGAGAAAATTGGACGATTCAACGCCACTCTTCCTCAATCGTGAAATCATTCCGAGGTGAAATATCTTGGCATTGTCCTTGATAAAAAACTCACCTGAAACGGTCTGGAGAGAGAGGCTAGATGGACTGCATATAGACTTGTGCACATTGCTAATTGCCCAAAGACCTAAAAGACCACATCTGACCTGAGAGACCACTCATCATACAAACTAATCGTTAAGAAGCTGGGTTTATTTGGTCGAGTGTATATAGATGTGAGCCACAATAAACTCTTACGGGTTGCGATGGAAGGTCGATTTTGACCCATTCACTTTTGACCTAACCTAACATACTCATCATTCAAAGTCAAACCATCAAACTTTACCAAATGCTAAAATACCACTAGCATATAGAACTACGAAAACGGACTTTATTAATATTTTCAATTCGAATTATCGAATTTTAGCAAATGAGTTAGAACGACTTCAAATATTTCTTAGAAATCACTCATGAACTGATCTATAGAGGTCTATAGTTAGAGTTCTGATGTTGTTACGTTTTATAGGTTATCTTCAATTGAAAGTTGTATCTTTATTCTGTGAACATGTTATATATCATAAGTGAAAACTGCCGAAGACGTAGTTCTACATGAGTCCGTTCTAGGCCCCTTTTTATTCATAAATTCTGTAAACGATCTGTTTCTTATATTGATTTCTATGGGTGTATCGCCCCTATTGATGTTACAACTATTATAATTTCTTGTACGAATAAGATTAAAGTAGCCTCATGGTGGCCTCATGGCAAGTATAATTTCAAAATTGGCCTTTGACAAAGCTCTGAAAGATGAAGATAATAGTTCTGGTAGATTTGAAACTTTGATGTATGGATATCTTCCACATTATCGAACTTTGGTTCATATTACTGACAACAGGTATAACACCCTTCAGTAAGGGTTTTGGAAGTAAAATCAGAGCTAGATTGAATCTATTGAATGAAGAAGTTCGATGAATCACTAGATCTCAAGTTGGAAATGTAAAACAAGAAAAAAAATTAACAGTGGGAGATGAGATATATTGCAATAAAAATGAAAAAGTTCGGTTGCAAATTTTGGGAGATAAAACTCACTTCTGTTGACTAATTCGTGAAAATATTGGTTGGAAAAGATATCCGGATAAAATGATTGGGAACAATCCAATGAACATCGCGGAAAAACGATTTCCCTGCAAAATGAAAACGGTGAAAATGTTTTTCTCGTATCTGTCTCATATCTGTCTTGAACTAATCTAAGTTGAACTTGAAAAGCTTAGGTTATAACTTAAATTTTATGTACAATAATATGATAATTTAATTGTGCTGTTGGCTGCAGCAGCTGCAGGAGTTCGGCGGTCCGGAAGTGGAGAAGCCTGACCTATTGCAAGGATCGGGGGCGGCTTCGATGCTGACGCCGGCGAGAACTAGCTCCAGCCCGAATTTAGCCAAACAGCTTATCGTCGACCCCAGGGTGCGGTATAATGTGAGTTATGCTTTCCGGAATTCGTCTATTTAGGTTAATACGTTGGGGAGTGAAACTAGCAGAGAAACAAGTTACATTTATTGAGTTATTTTGCGTTATTTCATTGCCGGGGAAATTTTCGTAACTCCACTAAGAAATGCTCGTTACTTGACGAATGAAGTTTGTCCCTTTTGAATTATATCATACCTAATTGAGGAATTATCGATTTCTCAGTTAATAGATGATTTCCTAAAAATTATAAGACCGTTGTGAAAGTAATGAAGAATAATACACTATATGTATATACGAGGATGGTCTGGAAAGTTTCCGACCTCAACATGGAGATGGCAGCACTCGTAAATAAAATCTAGTGACTTTCGTTCAAGTTTCAGCCATTTGGCCGTCCAGTTGTTATCTAGCAGTCGTTTGGGTGAGCGTTTTTATGAAAATGGACAGAATCGAGTCTCCAGCTCTCCAGCTGTCATTAAGTATTTGTTTTTGCAAGGCAATACGCTTACTCAAACCAAAGATGAGCTAGATTCTGTGTATGGTGACCCAGTACCATCATTTACAACAGTGAAATTTTAGGCAGTTGAATTTAAACGTGGACATAAGAGCTTGGGAGATGATGATCATTTGGGACATTCAAAAACTGCAACTATCGATGAAAATATCTCCTAGACGACCGCCGAATCAAAGGGAAAGGTATATCAGAGGTTATGAACATGTCAAAGGAACGTATTCGTCCGAAAAGTGGACTGCAAAAGGGGAATCGGATCCAAGAAAGCGAAAACTGTAAGTGATGACGACTGTGTTTTTGGGATAGTTATGGAGTTATTTCAATCGATGGTCTCCAAAAAGAAAAAAACATCACATTAGCATACTACACATCTTTACTTGACAAGCTGATGGCAGAACTTGTGGGAAAACGGCCTCATTTTCAGAAAACAAAAATCCTGTTTCACCAAGACTTACCGTCTTACCCTTCTGCGGTTGCCATGGCTATAATCCACGAATTATGGTTTGAACCATCCGTCTTACCCACCAGATCTAGCCCCAAGGGACTTTTTTCGATTCCCTCACCCAAACATTGCGCTAGGAAGACAGATATTTTCGTCAAATGAAAAGACAATCATCTTCGTAAACAATTATTTTGCAGAGAAAAACGCCGAGTATTATTTGGACGTGTTACAGAGATGGGAGCATCGCCGCGAGAAGAATGAAGATGTAAAAGGGAACTATGCTGAAAAATAAAAAAACTGAAAAAATTTTTGGTATCATTGTTAGGTCGCAAACATTTTACACCACCCTTGTATAAGAAAACATCGAAAACTACGAGACAGAATTACAAAGGAAAAACTTTCCACTGATACTCAAAAATAATTGAAATTTTTCTGAAAGTTCCCAGAAACAACTCCGAATTTAATGCTTTTTTGTTTCTATAAATCATTCAAACAGAACATAATCATTAATGTATGATATTTATTCAGAAAATGCATTTTTGTATGGCTCTTTTTCGAAAACCCTCTTGTTATATTAATCAGTATATAGATAGATAGATATATATCTTTATTTACTTTACAGAGTATTTGAAGTCCTACATGAACACAGTGGCAAAATACGTTGTCTGTAAAAGTACGTTAACAAAATACAAAACACAAAATCTTGAATCTACATACACTTCAGGAAATATGGACTGTCAAAAATCACACAAGGAGCCTAAAAAAAATAAATATATAGTAGTAATACTAAAAAAACTAAAATACATCACACTTTTTTAGGCACATTCATACACTGACTAAAATTTTTTGACCAAAGAAATTTGATTCAAATGGAACTTTTGTACTTTTACTGTGTAATACTGAATACTATGTGAGATTATAATAATGATGAAACTCAAACATCTGCGATATGTACAATCGATTATATATTTATATGTTTCTCAAGAACAACTTCTCAAAGATAGCTACAGGATGCTCATTATTCCAATTAAAAGATTAAGCAGCGCATTTTTTTCATTTCTGAACTACTGTGGCTGCTTATCGTTTTTAGGTTCAACTCAGTACACCTCAAACTTCACTGTTTAAGAACTCTTTCATTCTGAGAACTGCGTTTATGTGCAATAAACGTCCTGGAAACGTTTTTCCAAATGGACTTAATCTCCAACTTGTGTTTTGTCCTTAATAGAAACTGAACTCTATCAATAAGGAATATTACTGTCCTCCGTAACGAGTTGAGTTGTACTCTTATAGTATTTGTAACAAATTGACAATGCAATACTGTAAGATTAAACCTACAGATATGTAACCGACAGAGATTAAAGTTATTGAAGATACTTATGAGTGTGTAGGTTGAAATGATATGATTTTATTTGTAAAGGATGTACCACTACTTCACTTAACTCTCTGTCGAATACTGATTAGTATCATCATTCAAAATGAAATTGTCAATTTGGTATATCTCTGAAAATAGTCTATTCTCTTGTTTCTTTGAGCTAATGCTATGGAACATGTGTATTGCAGTTCATTTAATTTTTGGCAGTTTTTCAGATAGTTATAATTTTTTTCAATGAAATCATCTTCACTTTTATTTTAGAATGCGGATATTATATCACATTCAAATAATATATGAATGAAGATGAGATTATTTGTTGTAATATCAGTATATTTCTTGTCGCCTCTAGATTTCTTTCCATAGGACTACTCATAACTTACCAGCATATCATTTCAGTAATGCTTCAAGATGTGTGAGAAAGTTTCGATCAAAATATTGTACGGGCACAAAATATTGTACGGGCACGGAACATTAGTTTGATCATTCAATCAACTGAGTAATAAGTAATCACCTGAAAAAATTTGAATTTAACTTGTATTGAATAATTATGGACTCGGAGTTGTCGTTCAATTCACATATAGAAGAAGCCGTCAATAAATGTAATAGTGTTAATGGATTCCTCAAAAGAAACTGTCAAAATTTCAGAACGGCAAAACCTCTCCTCAATTTATATTATGCATATGAACATAGTAGGCTCTGCTTTGCGTCGGTTGTTTGGAATCCTCAGTACCACATAAACATAGATCGTATTGAGAGACTCCAAAACAAATTTCATCGCTACATTAGTCACAAATTGAATTTTTAAAATGATGATAGCGATTACAGTCCCATTATGCGCCAAAGCAATATCATGCCAATGAATGACTGTTACGGATCTTGTCATGATTTTCAAGTTGACGAAAGGATAAGTCCACTAAACACGGTTTTATTCCAAAATCGAGTTTAATGATCAGAGTAGAACGTTGAGGCGTACAGAATTTTTTAAGTTAACTTGTACAAGGACAAATGCTGCCCAAAATTCACCACTTTATAGAATGCTTAAAACCTTCAACGACTGTTTCAAACGCAGGATGAAAAAAATTTCCATTGATAAGTTGTGATCGTTTCTGTAGTCTCTGTCACTCATATAAGTTATATATTATTCTTCAATTGTACAATGTAATTTACAAAAAATTAAAATTTACATTCTTTTTTCTCAACTTGAATTGAAATTATAAAATTGGTTCCCTATTGGATTTGTTAATCAGTTTGTAACCCCTATATTGATAAATAAATAAGTGAATTGAGAAGGTTATGGAATTGATTTCAAACACTTATTCGAAATTGTCAAGATATATTATGCTTATCTGGATCTTCCGTCTCTAAACGGTAAAAACTGCAAATTATTCCGAAGGAAATCATTTCTCACACTTGAATTATAAATACGATAGCTCTCTATTCGAAATAGATTTTGAAGTGGACCGATTTTCAGAAGCGAAGCATCAGAGTTGAAGTGTTTATGAATTTTTGCGAAAAGTTCTTTCCCCGATGAATAATAGTTTTTTTTCAATAAGCTTGTTCGTTTTTAGACTGATTTTGGGATATTATTCAAACCAAAAAACGTGTATTTTTCTCAGCAGTTTTGAAATCGCACTTGATAGCTTTGTGAAAAACAAAATTTCGAAATTGAAATTTGTTCTGGTGGTTACTTATTATTCAGTTGCTTGAATGATCATACTGATGCTCCGTTTCCGTACAATATTTTGATTGAAACGTTCCCAAACATCTTGAAGCATTATTGGAGTGAGATGCTGGTACGTTATGACTAGTCCTATGGAAAGTGATCTAGTGGCGACAAATCTGGTTGCTATGGAAGTCATTCAATGCTACCTTTTCTCCCCATTCAGTGTCGCTGAAAATGATAGTCAGACTTTTTCGTTTTATAGTACATTCTCGAAATTTTATTCCTGGGAGCTAGTAAAACCAACTGCAAATCAATAGTAAAAACAAATTCTGTATTCAAGTCAGTTTTGTCTGCCATTTTTTCATTTCGTGCCTCTTGCTTCAATATCAGGTGTTGTTCCTCTTCTGTTACATTTTGAGTCTTGTATGCAGCGCATGTATCGCCTTAATCTCTTTTGGGATGGAATAAAGACTCATCCAATGAAACGTTTCGGTAAAAACTGTACGAGAATAAGGCTTTACGTTCTGTTCCTTGCAATAATTATTCACATAAGAGCGATACAGTTCTTGCATGGTTTGCCAAATAGGTTCCAAATAATGTTTTTGTGTAGAAGAAAGACAATAATGTGATTTCATTTCTGGAAATGATTCAAAAAATTCTTCAAACTTTTGATGAATTATGGCAGATTCACGTGTTTTCCTATTATTTTTCCTTGTCTTCTAGTCAGGGGCATTACTTGGCTTAATCCAGTTTAGTTTAATCCGAGGGTGGGATTGAACATTCTTTTGCATACCCAAAATCTCACAAGGTCTTGTTCAATATAATGATTTATAGGATGATTTCAACGAAAATTTTCGTTTGCACCTCTTCGCCAGTTCACAGCAAGACCTTTAACATTTCTTCACGTTTCTCAGGCATTGATTTTTTCCAAATATTTTCAAAAAACGAATGCCTCTCAATTTCGATTAGATTTTGGCACTGTAGCGAATTACCACTTTTAGATGATTTCCAGCTACATGGATTT